CTTCGTCCCCTCCACAGGACACTCCCTTGCCTGAAGCCTATGATGGTTAATCTACCAAAGCATGACATTAAAGCAAGAGCAACTTCGTGCCTTTAGGGCCATAGATGTATAAAATTTTGCAATCATTTTTTAAAAATATTATTAGTTGTATTGTGGGATGCCTGGGGCAAAGACTTTGTTTTTTTCCCGCTGGGTGGATCATATAGAAGACAGTAGGGCTTTGGCATTGCAGAAATCTTGTCCATGAAGACCAGACAGAACTACGGGAGTGCTCCTGGTACTGATTATGACTGGTGTGATACAGTGTGACCTGCTCAGGGTCATCAGTTTATGGTTGATCTTAAATATCACGCATTTTCCAGCATCAGGATGGATGTCAAAAATATATAGAATGGGCTGATGCTGGTTTGCTGGGTAAGAAAGGGAGAGCCACTGTTTCAAAGATGTTGCCCTCAGTGAGGTACAGCACAGATGAAGCAAGCCTTGAGAGGGTTTTTGGACCAGCTTTAAGGCGACACCCCTCCAAAGAGAACAGAAAAACCCTGGAAAGGAAAGCCTGTTTATCTAAATCATGGTAAGGTGAGCGAGAGCTTTTGGGAAGATGGGCTGCCAAGTGAAGCACTCCAGATACCAAAAAATAGCTCAGGTTGAACTTTTAAATCCTATCCTCAAATGAAATTATTCATTTCTACTTTCAGAATGTAGACTCTGGTTAAAATTTTTTTCCCCCTCTTCAAATCTCAGCCAGTTTTAAGCAAAAAGTTCTTCTATTAAAACAAAGAAAAAAAATTCAAAATCAGGGTTGGCTCTTACCCTGGGGACAGTGGGGTCCATCCCCACTGGAAGGATCTTTCTGGGCTTTACCTCTCCCCGCAGTGCCCGGGCAGCCGCGGCCCACGCCGGCGCCCAGCCCAGGCCCCCCAAACCACCTGCATGCCCCGCGCAGAAGCCACAGCAGGGATTTGTATCCCCAAGGTTGCAGAGAGGGGGCTGAGACCGCCCAGGCTGACTGCAAAAAGCTGCGTTGGAGAAAGTTAGAAGTTCCCCCAAACCCTGCTCTCCTGTGATTTCATCCATGAGGTGACTGGTGAGAATTTCTTGTTGATCTCTGTGCATGTCCCTCCCTCCCCTCCTTATATGATAATGCTGCATGAAGCAAATTTTTGTGTTGAAAAACACACAAAAAAGCTGCAAGGTCTTTTATCAAGCTTTTTCCCAGTTCTTACCTTGTTAGTGTCAACCTGATAATGAATGAATTATACTCTTCTTATTGTGCATAAAATTATTCTTCTAACCCTACTACAAAATTTTTTTTTGTTGAGATCCCCCACCAGCTTTTCAGCACTATAGCCACTGTTTGCCAAAATGTTTTTTAAAATGTGTACTTGAAAGATTTTTGACCTTTTAAAAATCCTCATCAGCAGCAGCGTCAAAACCCTTCTTTTTTTATAAAACGATTTGTAAAATTGAACCAGGAACTACTTGCTCTTGTCATCTTCCTCCTCCTGCCACCCCTAACTTGCCCTCTCCCTCCCACAACTTTTGGGTTGCACTCTCTGCTCCGGAAAATTGTGGGTCCTCTAACCTTCACAACCTGAGATTTGAGCCGTTGGAGACGGGATTTTGTGCCTTGAACTTCTCAGATGGGCTACCAAAGAAACGACGACTCAGAATTTCACCCTTTGAAATCACACTTGGAAAACCAGAGCTAGGGCCCAACCTCTTCTCTCGAGACGCTGCTACTCAGTGGCTGGGAGCCGGCTCTGCTATCAGGGTATTTTTGGAAAAGGCCACTGGAAACAGGCAGATCACATTTCCTAGGGGTTTTATCTGGTCATCCAAGGTTTCTGAACTGATAGGGAGGTTCTAGCCCCACATGTGTGACCAAGCAGTTGCCCACATATTTCCGCTGGCAGAAAGCTCCAGCAGAGTTGTAACACCTGGATCAATAACTTAAGCGACTGATTAGAGATATGCCGGTAGCAAGACCTTGCAACAAAAGTGATAAGTGACAAATTTGAGGAGTTTTACAGTACTAATGCTTGTTATTGCTTCTCACAAAATGTTACCAAGCTTACAATAATCTTTACACTTTCAGCAAAAATGTGAACAGTATATTTGAATATATTAAAAAGAATTAAAAAAACATTTCACAAAAAACATTTGTTGCCATATGAAAGTCTTTCAGCAATAAATGCCCACACCGGTATTTAAACATTGTTAAAAGTATAATGATTTGTACTAATAAATTATGCAACAAGAGAGGTAAACAAAATAAAATTACAGTATAGCTCTCCATGTTCCTCCACTGAGCGTCCGCAGCTCTCGGAAGCTCCATTTTAGATGACTAATTAAGAAACCGATATTTTCAGAGCAACAAAAATAAAAGCTTTTATTTGTTCATTTGAATATAAAACAGGCGTTATCACAGATGTACAAAGCGTACTGGTGGTTTAACATACAAGAAGGTTGCTGTCCTTTGCACATAAAAATTTTTGTTTGAAACTGTGATTGGCTGAGTTACATGAATTTCTCTAACCAGTCACCACACTCTATGAAATAACGCTGCTAACATTCAACTGATAAAAGGGACAGTCTTCCCTTGGGTAAAGTGTCAAGCAGGATTAAATATATATAATAAACAAGCACCATGAGGAATCTGCTCCTGTTTGATTAGTTTTGTGTTTAAATGTTCATTGTGTACCCTCTTTTTTTGTGCATGTGCATCAAGTTGATTACATGGTTTTGTCTGACTCCAAAAGCACAAGGTCACAAGACAAACATTTTATACATTCTCATGAATGGTTTATCTACAGTACAATTTCTAATACAGAACAATCCTTCTTTATTGCTCAGTCTGATGGTGCTTAAATGTCTCCTTCCTTTTGCTTGCACAACAAAACCAGAAACTCAGTTTATCGTTTCTCTTAACTCAGGATTTAACAACCACGGATGACAGGTTGCAGAAGAGAGCTGTTACTAACTGCGTTTCACAACTGCATTGCAGTTCTTTTATTCTCTACAAATGCAAAGTTGACTTCGTGAAGGTTAAAGTGATGCTTTGAACGACAGCGAGATTTGTTTTGCAGTACTGAGATCAGCGATAGCAGGACTTCACAAGTTAGTTCACACACTGCAATTATGTTTGTAATCAATCAGTATCTTGTCTGAAACCTTACAACAACTTGCCATTAAGAACAGATTTTATTCTTTTTCGGGAGCAGAAAATGAATTTGACAAAATATAGGATTGGTCTGCAGAGCATGAATAGGGCTATTCACAGGACAGTGGAGGCGGAAAGGATGGCCTGAAAGAAAACGCGTCTGACATGGCAAGATGCTCTGTACTGTACATGCAGACTAAAATGTCCCTACCGTTTAAAAAGATTTTAAACACCCAGCATCGAGACTCCCTTATACGTGATATAAACATGATTACATTTGCCCTGCAACAATCTTAGTCATGCATATCCGGTAATGAGAGCCAGCACATGAACGTCATTTGGGACAATAAGAAAAGCATTCTTGGACTGCAGCTGGTAAATCCCACTCTTGATCACAAACAGGTCAATTCAGTTACAACCACGTGAAGGAAGGGGAAGGTTTTTAAAAAAGGGGCACGGGGCACAGGGAAGACAACAGAACTGGGGAATCAAACCTCTCTTTTATCCAAAGGTAGTAAAATGAAGGCAGCTGTGATGCATGTTCTCCTACTCTTCTCCCATGATGGCCTCAGATCGGAGACCACGGGACTCCTCCGTTCTTTAAACAGGCAGATCAGTTCCTCTGATGTTTTAATGTGTTTAGGGACTAGTTAGCAGATGCACGATTTGTGCCAGATCTGTTGTAGTGACTGTATGCTCCTCTCTGTTAAGGAATAAATTAAAGACCGTCGAAACAATCGTTTCCTCTAAGTGTAAACTGGATGCATTGGCCACCGAGCTACGTGTTCTAGCTGAGAGGCAAATTGATAACTCTGTGCAAATAACCCCAAAACTTTTCCTTATAGCAATAAAAACACCAACTAAAACAATGAAAAAAATTGTGCAACAAAGTTCTGCAGCTAGACAACAGTGCTATTCCTCAACCTGCCTTTTCTAAGTCTAACAAGTGTATGCACATGCCAGCACGAATATTTATTGTTGCCTCCATGGCAAAGAAAAGAGAATTATTGTAGTGCATTTTTAGTCTTAAATTCATTCACTGCCTTAAAGGCAGCAATAATTCCACTTGCTGGTATCTAGAGGATTCTTTTCGACAGGGATACTTAGCAATCCAGGATTGCGCTTTTTTTTCCAAAAAATTTGAGTAACATTTGATTATCTACAGTGGGAGACACCATGCAAGTGACAAGTACTGCATTTTAAACTTTAAAATCTTTTGTCATTAGTGAATTTATATTTCATATATATATATTTGATGTGATACTATCCACTCAAGATAATACAACACTTTGTTTTTATATTAGCAAACATTTCAAGAGTTTAATATTCTTGAATGTTTTTTCTCTTTTATACTTCTAAAGAGATCAAAATAAATTAAACGTTTTGTACATAATTACAGAAGAAGTAGTTAACTTATTTTATCTTTTTAGTTTAGTACAAAGATATTTGCAAGTTCATTGCCGAAATACACCTTATTTATAAATTTCTTCCATTCTAACGCTAACAGCAAAGGCTCTTTGGCCTTCGGGCTTTCAGCATCTCGAAAGAAAGCTGCAAGATTTCTAATTGAAAGGTGCTACTTTGGGTATTCTCCTCGTACCACTACATAGTTTCCTAAGATGTGGGATCTAAAATGGCTTAAGTTAGTAACAGATCTGTATTCATCAGCTTTTTATGACATATTAAAACAAATGAAGAAAACAATTATTTGTATTAGTATGCAAATTGTTTTAAAAGAATCCATTTGGAGGGCAGAATAAAAAAAAAATCTACTTCAGCTTACTTAATGTAAAATACAAAGCCACATTTACTCAAAAAGCAGTATTGTCCAATAAGCAAAAAAAAAAGTTTAAAATGGGCTTTTCCATCACACTGAAGGGCCTTACCCCATAGTCCTTCTTTTCTAAAATTTAGTGGTAAAAGAAAACTTTTCACATTTTATTTCCTGCCAATCGTGACTGCTTTGAAAAGTCGTAATAGAAACAGTTCCATTCTGATGAGTGTCAGCATCTTATCTGCACACTTTTTTAGTGGACACCAAAAAATTTTATACATCTATAGTAAAGTCCATGGAAGCTTTAAGGTACAAGACTACATGTTGTAGGCCACATAGATGGGATCTAGCTGGTCTGCCAAAAATCCATCTCGTAGGTGCATACGTTGTTTCTCTCCACGGGAGTTGATAGGAATTACACCAATGTCCACAACCACCACCACCCCTACAATCAGATAGTGTTCCTCCAGGACCACGTTGGTGACCAAAGGAACCAGGTCCAAAGCTTCTTGCTCCGATCCATCCAGCTCAACTACAACAACCAATAAATTTGTCCAGGTAAACACCGCACTGGAACGATAGAAAAAATAATATTAGTGGTGGAGTTTTCTTACCCATTTCATTTTTTACCCTTTTCATTCCACCTTGGTTACCTTTTGTTTCAACTCCTAGGGCTCCTTCTGTATGCTCAGCACAAAGCGTAAGTAGCAAGGGAGAACAGATCTGCAGGCAGGGGCAGAAGAACAGCCCCACTAGCTCTCACTTTAAATATTGCTGCAATAGTAAGTGTTGGGCTAAACTTTACAGAAACTCGAGTCTAATCCTTGCCCCTCCTGTCAGGAGGTAGCAAGACAACGTGCGGTTCCCTCTGAAGCCAGCACTGCTGCGTTCATGAAGGCAAGCATGAGCAACGTGTGGGTGGAGGTGCCTTCTCTGGGTTCTTTTGAAGAGCAGCCCAGAAGAGCAAAGGAGGTTAAAACAGGAGGCGCCAAAAGGAACAGCAGGAACATAGTCCAAGCTGAAGGATCTTCGGGATGAACTCTGCCTAGCAAAGGGGTGTGGAGCCCTGGCATACTGCAGGCTGCACAGAGGTCCCCGGCTTCCTCACTTGCATGGTGCTAGGCTAACATGGCTACGTGCCTTCTGGGCTGGGCTGGCTGCTGTCCAGGCAGGTCAAAGCTCAGCACAAAAGAGCTGCGATTCTTCTGGACCAGTTGGTTTATACAGAAATAAGCAGTGTCTCCATCTGTTTCATTTTGGCTGCGTTTTATTTCTGTTGGGTTTAACGGGACAGGAGTTTTTACATTCCTTATTAACAGGTGAGATGCTCAAGGGAACACCATTATCACCAATATCTCCTCTTTACTAAAAGAACTTCGTAAGACCCCAAAATTTTGGTTAAACCCTTCAGACAAAGCAGGCAAATTTTGGTTTCTGCTCCTGAGCATCTTTTCTGGATAAGGATAATGAATTTATCCTTCCAAATATGGAGGCTGGGAGGGTATGAAAGTCTGGTGTACGATTCCCTCCACCCTCCTCCCCACGTCTCCAATGTCTCCAAAGCCTCTGCAGTCTCACAGGAGGTCAGCAGGACTGAGGCTCCACAAAGAGGAATCTCATTCTTCCCTGCAGGTGTTTAAGACACAGACAATGTTTTTTTCTTCCTCTAACTTATTCCATAGCATAAATAATAATATTCTACACATGTAACTCATACATCAATCCCTGTACTTTGCCCTCCTTTACCTTATAAAATCAGGGGATAATTTCCCAGAACTGTCTCAAGCATAAGCATCCGAAAGTTAGAATATATTATGTATATAAGCCAACTTCAAAAAGAGCTACTTACCCTAAGGTCAACGCTTGATTGAGACAGAAGTGCACTGTTTTAGTCTACCAAGACAATTCTGAAAATCCCTGTACTTTGGAAACATATCTTACTTTGCCCAAAAGTCAGCCATGAAAATGTGCTCTATGTTGACGCTTACAAGAATGGATTTTAGGAGAAAAGTACTTACTATTAAAAAACCCTTCATTTTCAGATCCTGCCAAAGTACTATTTGATTGAATTCTTATGTGCTTATTGATCTGGAAAACTAATGGGCAGCCAAAGCAAGGCTGTGCAGGCTCCTTTTGACTTACTACTGCTATGAAATGAATTTTAATTTGTAATTATGTTTTCACAGACATTCTAGTAAGTTTTGATTGATGCTGAATATTAACAAAGTGAAGTATCAGTCTGCACAGGTGACCATCTCCAGAGAGATCCTAGAATTTTTATGGATTGTTGTAGAAACATCTAAATTAAATTATATATATTTTAACAAAAAAGCCTGGGGAGGTTTTATTAAAACATGTTAGCACTTGAAACCATGCCTTAAACCTACTGTTAGCTTGTTACTTGGAAAAGCAATTAATGGCAAGATTCAGGAGCAGGTCCCTAAAACATGGCTTAGGAGACGTGAGTTTGTCTCAGTTCAGAAGACTGATTCCCAAAATTTTGATGAAGCTTCTATTAAGTCCTAGAGCCACTGACACTCCTAAGAGGATTTCAATTTAATTTAAAACTCATTTCATATGTCATGATTCTAACTCGCTGGTGACCACTCTAAGTAAAAGGAAATATTGCCCTCTATCTTCTCACCAGCTGAGATGAAGATATATTGGCCGGCATGTATCACTTATGAATACATTAACTTTCTAGCCCTGATGAATTAAAAAAAAACAAACCCCAAAAACCCAACAAAAAACTAGGGACCCAGGAAGGCCGTGCTTTCACAAGAAATTATGGAGTCACACTCAATAGATGCAACACAGCCAATGCACTGAGCTGGGAACGGCCCCTCCTGCTGCTTCCATCCCACCAAATGCTTCAGGAAAAGCAAGGAAGTTGTTGAAACACTTCCAGAGAAAGAGGCTTATAATGGTTTTCGTCTCCAAATGTCTTGTGTAGCTTTACCGACTTGTCATTATGCAGAGAGAGAAAACCACTTCTTAGCAAATTCCAGGAAGCTACATGCTGTTCCTCTTTCACGGGTTTGAAGTTTAAATGAGTCAACAATGTGCTTTAATTAAAACACATACACATACATTATTTCTCAAGATATTTTGCACTTTCAAAAATGCCTGGTGTAGTCACATACATCACAATAAAAACAGACTGTGCCACCCTTTTGCTTGTTACGTATTGAGACACAGGAGGTGCAGAGTCAGAGGTTGTTGATTTTGTGCTAAAATTTCTTAAGAAACAAGAATAATTTTAAATGACCTTTTAGATCTGATCTGCAATGACAGAAGTTGCACAGCAGGATCACATGTCAGTCAACAAGACAACACTTTCCTCAATAGTGTTAAATGTTACAAAATGAGCATGTGTTTCTTGGAAGCTGAGGCTATTTTTACACTCTATCGACTGGACATACCCAGTACCTTTTGTTTGCAATAGGTATTGATGCAGTTAAATCCTTAATGGGTCATTGTAACCGAACAACAGTGGCCTCCAACAAGAACAGAGGCTCATGCCCCCATCCAAAGAAAGTTATATATAAAAAGAAGGATTTAACTGGCTACTATTTTGTCAACGGGTGTTTCACAAAGACAAGAGGAGGATCTCTAAGAGAAGCTGAAAGGGAAGTTAAGTGAGAAAAGTCAAGGACCGTCAGGACTAGGCCTATGAATGAAAACTCCATGATGGTGGCTTGAGACAGCTATTAGGCAGAGCACTGGTTACGAGGAGGTTGGGAACTCTGAACAACTCAGGTGCTGTCACTCTGAACTACTGTGTGCCCATTTTCTGCAGGGACCACATCAGAGAAACATCTAGCTCATCGGCAATCTCTCTTCTTTGAGGGAAAAACAACCCTGAAGGCTTTCAATTTTGGCCTTTGGGCAAAGGGTAGTAATAGTACAGCGTGTTTTCTGAAATCTCGCTCACGTGCCTTGTACATTATCACCCAACTACTGGGAAGAGTTAAGGTGCTGAGAATTATTTGCGGGTACTTCTACCTACTTACAGAAATTCAGTGGCCTTTTTCTTTGGTCCTCCCAGCTTACCCCAACCCTTTTTTAATTGCCACTATCACACTCAGGATTTCTGTGATAATGGAAGGAAAAGGATCCTCAAAGTGCTCTCAGTGGTCTTGAAAAAAGGAACATAATTTAAGCATTTTTGGCCACTGAAACCCATGATGACCATTTCTGCAGTGTGATACGGCTACTTCATTCACTGCCCATGAGCTTACACTTTGAGGACACACAAATCTCTGACAAACAGGTACTGCTGAACACATCGATTTATGAATCTGTGGCCATCTTATAATAGAGCTGTCCCTGAATAGCTTGATCACAGCATCCTTCAAGTGTTCACAGCGGTCTACATGAGGACACAGAATCCGCCACCCTGCGTAATGGCTAGCTGGCAGAAGACCATACCAGCAGTGATGATGCTCTAGGGAGGAGGCAATAAGGTAAAACCTCAGTTATAGTCAGCCAAGCAATTAACTGCCTTAATTTTAACAGGTATTTAGGAAAAAAGCAAGTTGTTTTGACTAAAGAAACCAGTCTGGTTGCTGTGCTTCATTATTAAGTTTACTGCTCCAGGCCACACCTTTGCAGCCAGGATTGAAAAGAAAAATGGAGAATCACGTCTTATACTCGCTAAATTGCTCGGGCTGTTGCGAAAGGTTCGTTTTGGTTGAAAGGAGAAGAGCTGAGCTGAGGTTATATCAAAACAAAACAACTACCTAACTCAGTCTCTTCTGATGCAAGAATAATGAAAAGCAATTTGTTCTCACGTCGGCCTCAAGAAATGATTACCTACTGTGTGCATTTGATGATGTGATACATTGATTAAGACAACATCATTATTAACTCATTGATTTACTGCTTCAATTTCCATTGTGACCTTGATTTGATCACTGCTTGATTTATTAATAACCAATTCAAAAGTAACAGTGTGTTCACTAATAAAGTTTATTAGTGTGTTCATTTATCTGAAATGTTTGCTTGCTTACTCCTTCTAATAACAACACTCCTAAAGCTTGAACTCATACCAGTTTGCTTTTCCTGGTTAGAATATAAATCTCAAACTTCAAGAATCAGCTACTGACCTACCGAAGAGCTGCTTGGCTCTCTCAAATTAAAAGTTTAATCCTTCACTTGTACTTAAAACCACACAAAAAAAAGAAACATATTGAATAACCTTAGCAGAAAACAGTCCTTCCTGATTAAATCTGTTTGTGGGAAGTTTCATCCTAAGGACATATTTACGGCTGCGTTATAAATCCTGTGACCATCCTGACAGGCCATTTCCTGGATCAATTGCAATATCCAAGGAAAAAACCCAGACATTATAGATATTTCAGCTTTATATAAGGGCCCTGGTGTTATATAATCCTTACCATTCTGTGATGCTCTTGTGTGCTCTAATTACAGAGGTTTCAATATCGATCGGATGGTATCTCATCCCTCGTAACTCCATGGCTTCATCTAATGCACCCACAACATAAAGTGCATCATGGCGTTCTGGTTGTAAGGAAAAAAAAAATTAATGATTCTATTCTCCAGTACATTAAATTACAAAAATGTTCACATTAATAAATAAGTAAAATAAGTATAACATTTATAAGTTATCCTCAAATTTCTGAAACCCCGAAGTGATTTCCGAACTAATGAGAATTTTCCATTACTGAAGTGCAATGCAGAGCAAAAAGCAGAAGGAAGGCAGAAACACTATTCCCGTTTGAAGAAGAGAAAGGTAGAAGTCTTTATCCAAAGACAGTGGCGTAAATTCCTGTTTTTCTCTCAGGTTGATGCAGAACAGACTCATTCTTTTTTAAGGCACCCTAAATAGACAATAGGCTCCTTGTTTCTCTCTCTCTCTTTTGAAGGAGGAAGGATGGATTTGGCCCAAACAGTGTGGATGATGTTCTTCCAGTAGCTTTGAGACGGTCGGTACTGACGCTTAAGGTGTATAACAAAGGCATTTATTAATAAACTAGAAATACGTGCTACGTGCCAGATAGCAAATTGGTCATTCAGACAACTGGCAAGCTCTGCAGCATAATGCTCTTATAGCACACATTTTTAGTGACTAAAGAAATAAATGAGGCTGAAATGACACTTTTAAAAAGAGATTAGGCTGATAATAAACAACTGCATGTCATCCATAAAGAAATAATATTCGTAACAGACTTAAAAGCAGATAACTGGCTCTTTTTACATTATTTAGATAGTTGCACGGTGGTAATGTAATGGCAATATAGCCTCTACCAGCAAAAAAGGCCAGAGACCTTTCTGCACGGAGAGCTAAAAGTGGGAGGAGAATGGAGACTTAGCAACTCTTTGCCAGGAGAAGATTTAAGTCATGTGGATGCTTAAGTTGCAATACCCTCAGAGAATCCTGAATTTTCTCAAGGCTGGGCTATCATTATGAAACGAAAGAAGCCTGCGCAACCAAAAGTAAATCTCTTCAGGAAGATGCCAACATAAGGACACGGGCAGCAGTCGCAATCCACAGTGATTACTAAAACGCTTTCACATTTGATGAATTCACTCATTGGCTGAAGAGTGGCTATTCTGATTGCACTGACACTGGGGCCCTGGGGTCCCTCCTGGAGGTGCTTGCAGCGTTGCTAGAAACCGTATTTGCCAACAGCCTCGACTGCCCCCACAGCCAGCTGCTGCTCGTGGCACTGCGCTCTGCAAAAATCACAGGAAAGAAACGTTTTCCCAAGCAGAGACTTTGTGTGCTTGGCAGTGCTGGTTTGCTTACTTGTGTACACGACATAAGGAATGTCATAAAAACAAGTAATGAAATCCTGTCTGTACCTTCCCGACAGAAACCCGAACACCCCATAGCTTCTCCTGCAGGCTACTGCTTGTATTACATTTCAGTAACCATCCCCGCAGGTTTAAAGACAGGGAAATTTGAGAAATGGACAGCTTCTGTAAATAAGTTTATAACAGAGAAATTATCAAAGAAATTGGTCATCACAGGAGGGACAGAGCGCAGACTCACAACAAGGCTTTTTCTATCTGCACGAATGCATTCTTGCGGATATAACTGCGAGAGCAAATGATGGCATTTTAAGCCGCATTTCATATATTTCAAGCTGAAGCACTTGGCACATTAACAGTGCCAAAAAGTCACTGGTGGAGGGGATTTATAGCACCTGAGGTACAGCAAAGGAAAAGCAACTGCTTCAGCAGGTTAATCTTGCCCGCTGTTTTATTTTCTGATTGTCTTAACTAAGGCTTTTTTGCAGTTCTACAGGTTTCACAGATTGAATGTGTCGGATAGCGCAGGCCAAGAGACACGGTATCAGCCTCAAAATAATCCAGATTATGTGCACACACCTAGATGACGAGAAACCTCTTACCTCCATTTGCATCTGTGAGTTCTGTTCTTCTCAGGAACCCCAGATAGCCAGTTCGAGCCCAAATAGTCTGTGTGTCTCCAAAGCTGAGTCTTGAGTTAAAATGATCTGATTGCAAAGATTCATCTCCATAGATGGTAAAATACCCACTGGCATTGTGAGTGCTGTGAACCCATATCTAAGTTAAAAGCAATTATACTGGTATTAATTAAAGTAGTTTTCCAGAATGAAGCATTATTGAAAATTCTTGATGCAAATATTTTTAGTCATAGCTAGATAATACTACAATGCCTTTTAACACTGTGTCCTGGTTTTGGCTGGGATAGAGTTAATTTTCTTCCTAGTAGCAGGCACAGTGCTGTGGTTTGGATTTAGTAGGAGAAGAATGTTGATAAAACACCGATGTTTTGGTTGTTGCTCAGTATGGCTTATGCTAGTCAAGGACTTTTCAGCTTCCCATGCTCTGCCAGGGGAACAAGAAACTGGGAGGGGGCACAGCCAGAACAGTTGATCCAAACTGGCCAAAGGGCTATTCCATACCATATGGCGTCATGCTCAGTATAGAAACTGGGGGGGTTGGCCGGGGAGCAGCGATCGCTGCTCGGGAACTGGCTGGGTATCGGTCAGCGGGTGGTGAGCAATTGCATTGGGCATCACTTGCTTTGTATATTATTATTGTTATTATCATTATTATATTATTGTCATTTTACCTTTTTTCAATTATTAAACTGTTCTTATCTCAACCCAGGAGTGTTTTTTTCCCACTCTTACTCCTCCGATTCTCTCCCCCATCCCATTGGGGTAGGGGGAGTGAGCGAGCGGCTGCGTGGTGCTTGGTTGCTGGCTGGGGCTAAACCACGACACACTGTTTCTGAACCCGGAACTGACCCAGTTTTAGGCGCAGAGACCCAAATCGAACCTTGCTGAAGTCGGAGTGCGGATCTGAGCCGTGCCGGGGGGAGAGGGACGCTAGACGGGCGTCTGCAGGGCCCCCTGCCTTGCAGCCCTCTGGCCCCAGGTCAGCCAAAGACCTCACAGCCTCCTGGAACGGCTCAGCTAGCTCTGAGCTAGCTTGGTTATGGCGATTTTCAGAAGAGCCTACAGACCACTGCTTTTTCCATAGTCCCCCCTCCTGGTTCAGTGTGTTTCCTCCAGCAGGGCATCCTCCATGAACACCGGACAGACAGATTATTTTAAAGGGTGAGGCCAGGGACCTTCACCTATGGAGAAGGATTCATATCATCTAACTCAAGGCATCATGGAAATTTTTACGATTTCATAGTAATGAAATCTTCCAGATGAATCTCACAAATTAGATTGTAGTTTTAATTATGACTAAGCAAATTCTTCATTTTGTTAATTAGCTCTTTAATTGCTCATTGAAAATAACATTTTTTTCCTCTCTCTAGAAACACAAAATAAATTGGAAAAACATATAGCCTTGCTCAACTCAGCTAATGAGAGTACTTCAGTGCGTTGAAGCACAATGATTACAAAGACAATAGCACTAGAAAACCATCTAGCTGAAATTAGACTAATCAATAAACTTATTTTTTCATGTAAGTTTCCATCAGAATTAGTGAAGCACCATGTAGAAAACAGTTAGAAAAAGCAGATTTAAAAAATTTTTTAACTAACTTGAGCTATTATTAGTAGTTATCAAGTACGTTACTAACAATTTTAATAATGATACAAATATCATGCTACACACTTTATATACTATAAAGCTCTGCAGAATTCACAATTTTCTTAACTGGGCATTTGATAAGACATATTATAGGAAACCATTGGCATACACGATGATAGCTTCATCTCTGCAATTTAGTTCAGAGCATACAAAGGTTAAGTTTTCATGACTCACCTCACCAAGATGAGAATCTCCTAAGGGTCCCTTTGTTTCTGGATTAGCAATAATGATACGTACTCCTGGGAGGATCTATTGAAAGAAAACATGAGGCAGTAAGAAAGCAGATACCGGCTTATGCAATCATATGCTGACTCTCTGTCCCCAAAAAGCTTCATTAGAAACTAGAAGAAAACCTTAAAAAGTTAAAGTTGACTTAAAACATAGCAATTTAAAATAGTCCATAGATGTATAAATTCTGAGATATCTGGGAAATGCTACAAACCCTCTTCTCTTTGTGAAAGCTGTTCCATCATTAAAAACCTCCTCAGAAATCAAATGTTCACCTACAAGACAAAAATCCTAACAAATGACCCAAGTCACTGTGAGAGTATATTCTAGAATAGAAGAAAAAAAAAAATGCTAGCCACATGAAACTTTGTCCTGAAACAAAAAGCAAGCCAGAGGCACCATGCAATGACTTCACGTAAGGAACATTCAACCAGTAGAGAGGTGGGCAGATGTTAAACCCTACAATAGCAAAGGGAGCATCCTCTGACCATGAGCGTTTGCAAAGCTATGGTTAGAAAGCTTTAGATGAGCATCCGCAGCATCAAGGGCAGTCAGTGAGCAGGGGTGCCTCGGTGGCTCAGTGCAGCAGCGAGGGCACCTCCCCTTTCGCCCAAAGGCAGAGCACGCTCAGCAGTAGACCTTGGTCACCAGTGCATGGCCAGACACCGCAGCCAGGGCCAGAGCTGAGAGCCGCACCCCTATCTCTGTGCACCGGTCCTGTGTCCTCGCCCTGTCCCACAGCGATGCCACCCACCAGGGACGGTCCCTCTGAAGGTAGCAGCAGCCTGTGAGTACAGCATTGGCAATCCCAGACCCGTTCTCAGTGGAGGTGGGTCTACAGCGATGAAACTGCCTTCACGAGCGGCACACTGTTGGATGTTTCAAGAGTGAGATGTGGAGGATGAAATACCTTCTTTTTGCATAAAAGAAGGAAATGCTTTTTGCATAAAAGAGGGAGGTACAGCTTCTGAGAGAGCAGTAATGCATCAGTTACTGCCATCATGCTGTAACCTCAACAGTAAAGAGAGGTCTTCAGTCTGCATAGCTGATAAAGCTTTCCTCAACACTACATTCACATAAAAATGAGCAGAAATGGAAATTTACTGAAAATATTTACCATAAAAGGCATGTTTAAATCCTCTTTCAGTACTTACTTTTCCTGACTCCATGAGGGGCAAACTATGTGGAGATCCTCTTTCGACTAAACGAACTCTGTAAAATACATGTAAAAATAATATGCATAATACACAGTTGCGTTTATTTGCTTTTCATTAATGTTTATTTCTAAAAGGAATGGTTAATGGTCACAGAAATTAAAGTTATTTTTGGAACAGATGAAGCTTATATCCTGTAGAACATAATTGGGCCCAATATTTAATCTGAGTCAAGACTTATGGCTGGGAAAATAATGAAAAAAAGATGTGTGTGAACATTTTCTTAAATATTAAATTCTTCAAATGTAGTTGGTGCCTTTTATTTGTTTTTGATAGACTTCTGGAAATGGAATTCCATGCACAAATTTATTCGCAACAAGAGAGATCTAAAATACTGATTTCCCACATGAACATCATAAATGCCAGGGCACAGACACAAAAGCATGTGAGCTGAGTGAGCAACCACATTCCAGGAGTAGCTAACAGTTAAAATCAAAGTCATATTGAAATAACTCGTAACCTGGTCTCAGCTTCAAATCTGCATTTGCAATCTTTTAATTATTTTCAATGGATGGTGGTTGATAAACTTTTTAATATTTAAAAAATCATTTAATGAAAAATGTTATTACTGCTGAGGTCAAGCCCTTTCTCTGAGCGTGGCTTTCTGGTCCTCTCTCTTCCTTTCTTAGATAACTTATTTTCCCACTAGAGGAACAGAAATGGCAGCTCTCCAGCAGTACGATGGTCTGGAAGGAAATTCCTCATTTAACAGTAGAAAAGTACTCAGCAGGTTAGAATGAAAGAGACTTTAAACTCCTAAAATAGTTGATGATCTCAGCCAGTAGACGGTGAAGAAAATTT